GTATTTTATCATATATACATAACTTATCACAGTCTGCTGCTCTCATCGTTTCACCAGTTGAAGAACCCTTACCTCTTTCTATTCCTTTACCCTCTCTCATTTATAATATAATTTCTTAAATATTTCATCTAAATACATTTAGAACGATATCAGACAGTGTTAGAATTTTTGCCTCAACCATCAAACGTAATTTATAGGAAATTCCAGAGAAGAAAAGTCTGTTGCATTAACTTATTTTAAAGAAATTATCATGTTCTTTTCTCCTTCCTAATGTTTCAAGTTGTCTTCTTTTTATCATTTTCTTTCTGTTTAGAGAACTTTAGCCATTCTTTTAGGGTAGGTCTGCTGGAAACACATTTGTAGTTTTTCTTCATCTGAGAATGTTTTCATTTTCTCTTCATTCCTGAAGGATATTTTTACTGGGCATTGAATTCGGTATCAACAGTTCTTTGCTTTCAGCACTGGAAAACTATGCCACTCCCTGCTAGCCTCCGTAGTTTCTGATGAGAAATCTTCTGTCGTTCAAATTTTCTTTTTTTTCCTGAAGGTAAAGCATTGTTTGTCTGTAGCTGCTTTCAGGATTTTTCTTTGTAGTTTTCAGAATTCTGACTAGAATAGATCCGGGTATGAATTTCTTTGGGCTTATTCTCTTTTGGGTTTGCTCAGCTTCCTAAATCTGTCAGTTTTACACCTTTTGCCAATTTTGGGGAACTTTTATTTCTTATTTCCTTGAGCTCTCTTTCAGCAGTCCTTGTTTTCCTTTCCTGCTGAACCCCAGCGACTTGAATGTTAGACCTTTTGTTATAGTCTCTCTGATCCTGAGACTCGGTTCATTTTATTCTTCTTCAGTCTATTGTTCAGTTCTCCCTATTATTCAGATTGGCTAATTTCTATTGTCCTCTCTTCCAGCTCACTGATTCTTTCCTCTGGCCTTTTACGCAGCTGTTAAGTGTATCCATTGAGTTTTTTGTCTTGGCTATTGTATTTCTCAGTTCTGAAACTTCCATTTAAAGATCCAGAAGCTGATGGATGTGGGTCTGATCCCAATTCAGTGATGACTTGTTCATCCCCCACTTCCCTCTGCCCTCATGTGGAAAGAGGAGCTGGGACCGTGCCAAGCAGCATGGAACGAAAGGGAGACAAGTGGGAGAGAAGGCCTCATCTCTGCATATTTATATATAACCCAAGGGAAGACACAGAGACTGGTACTTGCGCTGTTCGTGCGCTGCCTCTGGGCCCTCCCAGCACATGCATGGTCTCTTCACTGCCGCCTAGAGTTCCGTGTTTCCTTCCCCTGCCCCTAGTTGCTGTCTCGGCTGCTCTCCCATAGTTGGTTATTTTTTATTTGGGGCAGCGGGCATGTACAGGGAGGGGGTTCTTCCCAGACTCAGGTCCCAGCTATTTATTCTGTGTCCCCTTCTCCAGTGAAACAAGCAAGTCGGGTGTGGTTTTAAAAAATAATAAAAAATAAAACTTCATTTAGTTCTTCTGGTTTTTTAACTTCTTCATTGAAACCTTCTAATTTTTCATCTATTCAGCTTGTTCTTAGTTGCTCATTTAAGCATATTTATTGTGGCTGCTTTGAAATCTTTGTCAGGTAATTTTAACAACTTCGTCATCTAGGTATTGGCATCTATCAGTCATCTTTTTTTTTTTCACTAAATTTGAAGGCTTCCTTGTTCTTGGCACAACAAATGATTTTTTAAAAAAGATTTGGACATTTTGGTATTCTTATGAGATTCTGGATATTGTTTAAATCTTCTGCTTTGGTTGCCTTCTTCTGACATTGCCCTTGCAGGGGAAAGGGTGTGGATGCTGCCTTGTTATTGCCAGGCGATGGTGGAAGTCTGGGCTCCCCGCATGGCCTCCACTGGCACCACCACTGGTGGGGATGAAGTTCCCGCTCCTTTCCCGGAATTCCCTGATTCCACCTAACTGCTGGGGGAGGTGGCAGTTGGGGCAGTCGGGTCTAGGCCTCCCACTCAGCTTTTGCTGAGGTGGATGTGGGTGAGGCCATACTTTTTTCCATGGTATTGAGATGGGATAGAGTGATTATTCTCTGTAAGTTTTCCATCTTGCTAGGCTGCCCCTTTCCTGGCGATTTGGCTAGAGAGATCAGGCTTTTGTTAGGTCTTTAAACATCTGAGCCTTTCCAGATTCCTGCCTTCTTCTGCCTCAAATCTGGAATATAGGAGACAAACAGAAAACCTAGAAAACTCATCATCACGTCTTCCACTGGGTCCTGAGGTCCCTGTTGGTGTGCCTTCTTCTCTACCTTTCAGAGTCGTCTTCCGTCTGTGAAGAAGGAAGAGCAGTCTATTTCGTCGTTCGGATGTGGAATATCCACATGCGGAATACCGACTTGACAATATTTGGTTGCCCCTGGGAGTGACAGGAAGTTGATTTCTTGTCTCTCTCTCCGCTTTGTTTTCCTTGAAACCATCAGAAACTCTTGCCCAAAAGTCTGGGCAAAGACTAATGGCAAGACAGCCCCTCTGTGGGAAGTGGGACTGACTTGGTAATTGGGTTCATCTGGCATCGAGTTTCCAACAGTGAGGGCAATAGAAGGATGTGAAATATAAGGGGCTCACTATACGAATGCCCACTTGGAGGAGTTTTAACAACAGGTGCTAGGGATACTGTTCTTAGGGGGAATGATTTCAAAGGGCACCGAATAGTTTTTTAGCTCAGTCCCTGACTGCCTGAGAGTCCTTTGCCACTGGAGTTCTGGGAAGCGAGTACAGAGGACCAAAGGGAGGATAGGACCTGGGTCTGGTCCTCAGGAAAATTTCTGGCCATCAGGAAAGATTGACATACCTCCTGAACACAGGTAGCGACATCAAATCAGAAGAGACAATTGACATAATAGATGCTGTTGTTTGGACAACAGGCAACATATGGGAAGCTGGCAAGAGAGGAGTGGTTGGATTAGAACAAGTGATCGGAGAAGGTTTCCAGGGGTGCCTCTGTGGTAGGTTCACAAGACGAGAAGGCCAGGGAGGGGAGGGGAAGTGAAAACCTTAAGGAGAGGGGCTGTTTGCTCATAAGCCCTCCCGTGCCACACTGTGGAGTTGGCATTCACAGCATGAATGCCATTGGGGGTCATCTCAAGGCCTGTGACATGCAGCAGTTCATAGTTTTGGCGAGACTTGGGTCTGAATCACCTCCACCCCAATGCTGGTGTGCCGAAATGAGCCAATTAGGGAGTAATTCTGGCTGGAACACTCAGCATCCTCATCACAATGCAGTTTTGTTGATCTTCTTTGTGCCTTACAAAGAAACTTACAAAGGAATAGAAACTTTGGGCCAGGGGTGGAGGCTCACGCCTGTAATCCCAGCACTTTGGGAGGCTGAGGTGGGCAGATCACCTGAGGTCGGGAGTTTGATACCAGCCTGACCAACATGGAGAAACTCTGTCCCTAATAAAAATACAAAATTAACCAGGCGTGGTGGTACATGCCTGTAATCCCAGCTACTCAGGAGGCTGAGGCAGGAGAATTGCTTGAACCCGGGAGGTGGAGGTTGCCGTGAGCCGAGATCATGCCACTGCACTCCAGCCTGGGCAACAAGAGTGAAACTCAGTCTCAAAAACAAAAAAACAAAAACAAAAAACTTTGTGTTAGCTAAAAAAGATTAAAGGATTGCCAAGTGGCATTACCTTTAGTGAAACTGAAGACATCTAAGAAAATGATTATTCTTAACTGGAAGACAACTGTTTTGTATAAAAAAGAGCGGAGGCTGAATTTGGCAATTGTTTAGTACAACAGTTTTAAGGGCATACCATAACCTCCGAACAGAAATAGAAAAGAGGGATGGGCCAACTGTTCGTTCAAGTAATCTGGCCAGTGAAATACTTGTGTTTTTATGGAGGAAATGATATACTATGAATACATTTGGGAATTGAGAATTCTTGGGTCACATATTTTGGCAATGTCAAGGATCAGTGAAATTCTAGTGTCTGCCTTACCATCTCCAAACTTGGGAGCTAGGTTTGGTCTTCTTAATTCAGGACCCAAGAGCCTAGCACAGTGCCTGGGAGAGAGTCAGCCCTCAACAGAAGTCTGTTAAATGAATGGATAAGTGAGTGAACAAATTGACAGCTGGCTGGCTGGATGGATGGATGGATGGACCAATGAATAAGGCTTGCATAGCTCTGAATGTGGAGTCAGAAGACCAGCCAAGGGAGTCCTCCAGGCTGGAGCCTGTGCTTTTTTGGGGCATTTTCAATTATCTGGGATTCACACAAAGAAAGGACTCACTAAATGTTTGCTAAAGGAATGACATCCTCAATTATCTGAGCCTTGGTTTCCCCATTTGTGTGATGTGGATGATCACCACTCCCCTCGGCAGACTAAGTGGGTAAAATGAGCATCTTGTATGAGGGGCTCTTTTACACTGGAAAGTGCTGCACCAGTGTCAGCCATCGTGAATGGTGGCAATGACCATTATTTCAAGGTCGAGAGTTGGGGTAGTGGGATGGTAAGGGGACAAAGAAGTCAGTGTGTGCAAAGGAAGGTGGGCGGGGTAGCCTGGCTGTCTCAGAGGAGCAGGAGAGCTGCCTGGGAGGGCACAGCAGGGGCCTGGCAGCCAGAGACAGGGCCTGGATTCCCAGCGTGCTCCTCTCCTAGGGACCCTGGGAAGCCAGGCAGCAGCAGCCTCTTCCTAACCACATAAAAGCAGCTCAGCCAGGGTCCCCGAAGCAGCCGGTCTGATGCTGGCAAGGCTGTGAGATTTCTCACAGATGGCATTGTCAATTAAAGTCTCCCCTCTGAACCCCTACAATCCCTGCCCCCACCACTCCCTGGGGAACAGCAGTTGAGACTGTGACAAACCTCCCACCCAGGATCTTTCTATGGATAATGTGGCCAGGCTAATTACCCATGTTCATTAGATAAAGTGCAAATTACATGAGCAAGACTTACAAGACTAGCACTTTGGGAGTTTTCAAGTTATTTATCTGGTGTCTGATTTTGCTGGGAGAAAATGATTTCTTGCTCCCAGGCAAACTGAACCCACAATTTAGGCCAGTGGCTCCCTCCTGAGTCCTATAAAGTGGGAGCCCAGGATCACAGGCTGGTGACCTGCATCTCAGCTGAGGGTTGGCATCTTATCCCCACTTTCTGCCTCCCCACCATGAGCCGCCAATTCACCTACAAGTCAGGAGCTGCTACCAAGAGGGGCTTCAGCGGCTGCTCAGCTGTGCTCTCAGGGGGCAGCTCGTCCTCCTACCGGGCAGGGGGCAAAGGGCTCAGTGGGGGCTTCAGCAGTCGGAGCCTCTATAGCCTGGGGGGTCCCCGGAGCATCTCTTTCAATGTGGCCAGTGGCAGTGGGTGGGCAGGAGGCTATGGATTTGGCCGGGGCCGGGCCAGTGGCAGCATGTTTGGCAATGTGGCCCTAGGGTCCGTGTGTCCCTCCGTGTGCCCGCCTGGGGGTATCCATCAGGTCACCATCAACAAAAGCCTCCTGGCACCCCTCAACGTGGAGCTGGACCCTGAAATCCAGAAAGTGCGTGCCCAGGAGCGGGAGCAGATCAAGGCGCTGAACAACAAGTTCGCCTCCTTCATCGACAAGGTGGGTCTTTCTGGAGAAAGCTGATCTTGGACTCCCCTTTCAAGAAGTCAGGAGGGAGCCACTGCCCTAATTTGTGGGTTCAATTTGCCTGAGAGCAAGAAATCATTTTCTCCCAGCAAAATCAGATGCCAGGTAAATAACGTGAAAGCCCTCCCGGGCGCTGGGCTTGCAAGACTTGCTCATGTTGTAGAGCCCCTTCCTTCCCCCATCTTCATTGTCCTTGGGGCACTCCCTGTCTGAAGCAGAGAAAGGCAAGATACCTTCCCAGGATGCAGACATAGCCCAGGGAGGAAGTGGACAAAGCCTGGACATCAGAGCCAAGGGACCAGGGTCAGAGGGGTGAGAGGAGCCAGCAGCCTAGTCCAGGAAGGTGTCCAGGAGGCAGAGAGAGAGTGGTCTCTGAGTTGGGAAATAGGAGAGTGACAGCCTGTGAGACTAAGAAGCCAGGCAAAGGAGATGCCCTTGACAGCCTGGGGTGTCTAGACTGCCCTGCGACCCAGCACTTCTTCCCGTGTCCCCTGCCAGCTCTGACAGTCTGTAACACACACAGCCTGTGAGGCAAGGCAGCTGGAGGTCATGTTGCACTAGAGCAGTGGTTCTCAAGAGTGGCCCTTGAACCAGCAGCAGCAACATCACCTGGACGCTTGTTAGAATGCTCATTCTCAGGCTCCACCCCAGAGCAACTGAATCAGAAACTGTGGTGGGGCCCAGCACCCTGCATTTTAATAAGCCCTCCGGGTGATACTGATATTCACTCAGGTTTGAGAACCACTGAGGAACAAAGTGGTAGGAAGGTCTTGGGAAGCAGAGACTCCCTAAGCTTAGGGAAGCAGGAGAAGCTTACCAGGAGTGACAGTGAGGTAGGGTGGTGAGGCATGAGTAGGAGTTTTCAGATGGAGGTGGGGAAAAGGCAATCTAGGGAGAGAGCACGTGCAGCGTGGTAGAACCTGTCTGGGGAATGGGAGACCTTGGGTTTATAATATCATTGTGTGAATGATAAAGGAAGCCAGCAGGGCTGGGCACATTGTGAAGTGCATGATAAGGAATATGAACTTGACCCTGAGGGTGAAGGTTTTAAGCAAGAGAATGCTATATTTGTAGGTTGCAACTTGAGAATGCTTGTTCTGCTGCTGAGGCAATGCTCTGATTGAGATAGTAGAGATCCAGACATGAAAAAAACTTAGGAGGGCTGGAGACTGCAGATACGCTGACCATCTGCCTCTGGCTGGGCTAGGAGAGCCCACGTACAAGGAGGGAGAGAATAGGCAGAGCATGCGCCAGACCCCAAGCAGAGGGTCCTACAGTGTGAAGGCTAGCACAGGCCAGCTTGTGTCTCAGGAGCTGCCTTGGAGAGGCGGCCTAGGCTGAAGATGGACATCGGCCCAGGCAGGCTTGGATAAGTGCAGAGGAGACAGGAGATCTACATCTTGATAGTTGGAGAGGGAAATGAAGATGTTGGTGCCCCTCCTGACCTTAGGGGCTGCCTCAGAGTGAGAATTTCAGTCAGATAAAGGACCCTAGGTGGGGAGTGGGGGTATGAGTGGCATGGGTGATAGTTTTTAAGGGCTGAGGCACATTTTTAGAGCTAATGTAGCATAAGAGAACACAGTTCCTGTCCAGGAAGGAAATCTCACCTCCCCTCTCTGTACTGCTTATGTATCTGGCATGGGTTCCAGGTGCGGTTCCTGGAGCAGCAGAACCAGGTGCTGGAGACCAAGTGGGAGCTGCTGCAGCAGCTGGACCTGAACAACTGCAGGAACAACCTGGAGCCCATCCTCGAGGGCTACATCAGCAACCTGCGGAAGCAGCTGGAGATGCTGTCTGGGGATAGGGTGAGGCTGGACTCGGAGCTAAGGAGCGTGCGCGAAGTGGTGGAGGACTACAAGAAGAGGTGAGCAGGTTGCTGCTCCAGGCTGGCCTGTCTCCCTGGGTGAGGCTTTCCCAGTGGGCACTGGGACATTTGCCTCTGGCCTCGGAGGTACTGAGTTCATCTGATCCGGCAAGATGAGGGCCTTCTATGGGCAACGAGGCAGGCTGGACAGTGGACAGCCGCCTCTTGGGTGGTGTCAGGGCTGTCCTGGCAGGACATGCTCTTTGGCACACTCCTTCCTGCTCCCCACTCAAGAGAGCCTGTGTTGTGTGTGCCACAATCTCTGGGCTCCTAAGCTCACCACTGTGCCTTTGAGTTCCAAAGAACCACCCCTCTTTTCCCCCCACTGGCTGCTCTCTGCAGTGGGGAAGGAGTTGGAGTTCCTGTTGGGTTTCCTCCCTCATTGCCTTTAGGTCCTGGACACTTGGGCCATGTGCCTTCTTTTTCCCCTGGGGGATAGTTCTGGCTTCCATGGGACCCCTGCCTAGGGATGGAGGGGAGTTGCTGGTAGGGTGTCAGGCAGCAGGATTGACAGAAGAATCATGGCTGAAACGGACATCTGGCATGCTTCTGTGATTCAGATACAGAGTGGGAAGAGGAAGAACCTATTCACTCCTCAGGCATCAGAGGAAATCAGACCTCAAACCAGCCAGGCTACTTCATAACCCAGTCTACAACTCTGGCCAAAGAGTCCTGGGGTATTTGGATGGGCATATAATATGAGTATTTCTTTTCTCATCTCACTGAGGATGTATACACACACACGCACACATGGTCACACATGTGTCTGTGATGCTTTCCCTGCGATGCTTTCCCTGCAGGTATGAAGAAGAAATAAACAAGCGCACAACTGCTGAGAATGAATTTGTGGTGCTTAAGAAGGTGAGGAGGGTGCATGGGTGGCCTCCAGTCCCCAGCAGTGGGTGCTATAGTAAGAGAGAGAAGCGACCCTGGAGCCCACGTGCTGAAGGAGGAGATGCAGGGCTTGCTACTTGGAACATCTTGGGACACCTGGGTGTTGGTTTTGCACACAGTACCTTGTCTGTGGGCAGGGACCTAGACATGGATGGTCAGTCCCAGCTCATGTCCTCTTTGGCTGGGGAACAGGACAGGCTTTGGGAGGGGCTGCCGGCTTGCCTTCCAACTCTGCTAGTTTCTGGCAAATTGCCGTGGTTGCCCTTGGCTCCCTCTGTTGGCTGAATGACCAGCTGAGTGGGGTATAGAGTTCCGCACCCTCTCTGAGAAATAGAGGCAGAAGGCGTTCCAGCGGCATGAGAAACTTGCCCCAGGTTTCGCAGTAAGTCTGACAGTGAGTTGTGGCTGGAAGGCAGGTACCTGCCTCTTGGATCTCAAGTCCATTCGTGGGCAGCTATCAAAGGCAGGGCCTGCGGGTGTCAGTTCACTGGAGAGGCCTGTCTGGGCTTGAAGAAGGTGAGGTTGGGGGTATCTGGGTTCTCCACAGGACGTGGATGCGGCATACATGAGCAAAGTGGAGCTGCAGGCCAAGGTGGATGCCCTGGATGGAGAAATCAAGTTTTTCAAGTGCCTGTACGAGGGGGTAAGGCTCCCTCTGCCCCACCTCCAGCTCTGTCTTCTGGAAGGACAGATACGTGATGAACAGTTTCTTACTTATCAGTAACTTCAGCAGTCCAGGGCACCTCCAGCACTGGGGTGCTAGAAATTTGTAGATCAAAGGTGGGAGCGGCCATCTATCCTGGTGCCCCATCCATCCCTGACTGCCCTGGGGATGTCCTGCTTTCATTTTCTTCAGGAAACCAGAGTCCTCAGGGGGTTTCTACTGAACTTCAGCCAAGCCTATTCTCATTCCTGCTTCTCTTCTCTCTGTGGATGGGGATGTTTCCTGGGGTCTTGGGCAGGAATCCCCAGGGATAGAGGTAGGAAGTCCTCATACCCTTTCTCTTCTCTATGCTCATCTGGTTTCAAGCCTCATCCTATTTGCCAAGCACTCAAGAGAGCCTGTGTTGTGTGTGCCACAGCCTCTTGGTTCCTAAGCTCACCACTGTGCCCCTGAGTTCCAAAGAACCACCCCCACTCCCCCCGCTGCTCTCTGCAGTGGGGAAGGAGTTGGAATTCCTGTTGGGTTTCCTACCTCATTGCCTTTAGGTCCTGGACACTTGGGCCATGCACCTTCTTTTCCACACCCGTGTGTGGCAGCCAGGCTGTTGCCCTCCACTTTCCCAACTCCCGTCCTGTTTCAGGGGACAGACGTATGGGCTGTTTTCTTCCTGAGCTGCTTCAAACCCACTCAGCAGTTTTCAGGTGTGGTATTGGAATCTCTGGGCTGTGAGCTCTGTTCTTACAAGCTTTGGGGAGTGCAGCTGACATCTGTGTGGGATGGTCTAGGGCCACCCTCTGAGACAGGGCCATCTCCTTGGCACCTTTCTCTGGTCACAGAAGGTATTTCATGCTTCCTCATTTCCCCTGTAGGAGATCACTCAGATCCAGTCCCACATCAGCGACACGTCCATCATCCTGTCCATGGACAACAACCGGAACCTGGACCTGGACAGCATCATTGCTGAGGTCTGCACCCAGTACGAGGAGATCGCCCGAAAGAGCAAGGCCGAGGCCGAGGCCCTGTACCAGACCAAGGTGAGGCTGCACAACTCCTAGAGTCACGTGTGCAGGGCCCTCTGCTCCAGACTCTGTCTTGTCTGCCCCATGACCCACTGTGGTGGCTCACAGCTTTCTAAGAGCACAGCACTGTCCTGGGCACTGGGGGAAGCCAGAGGGGAAGAGAAGACACAGCTCTGTCCTTCGGACCCACTCAGATGGACAGCACCCCTGGAGGATGCACTCAGCTGAGTGCAGTGAATGTGGTGCAAACAGTCCAGATCGACGAACTAGCACCAGGTGGGGCAGGTCAGAAACAACTTCCTGGAGATGGAGAGTTCTGTCTGGAGGGGAGGGGCAACATGAAGAGTCAGCATCTCAACTCCCTCGCTAATTATCATAAATGAGGGGGTCTCTTCAGTGTGATCTGGAATCAAGTAACTTCTACCTTTTCCTTCAAGTACAACTCCAAGGATAAAGAAGTTTGAGTCCTCAGATCTTAACTCCCCTAAAGGTAGTGGGTGGGAAGTGATTTTTTAGATAATTTGGTTTCTCAGATCACGATGGCAACTTCCTAATTATTCCTTGCTGTTTATCAGGCTCTTTCTCAAGGGAATCCACACTCTCGGGAGATCTTATCTCATCCCTCTCCCTGCCTCCTTGCGGGGGAGTAGGGAGACTTTCCAGGTCTGGGAGACATAGGCTAGGGCTTCTTGGTAAAGGTTCAAACTCAGCTCCTTGGTCTCCAAAGCCTTCCACATTACTGTTGCAAGCTAGGGTCAGGAATGGCCAGAATCATGAGTAGTGTGATTGCTGATTTTGATGATTCCCTTTTAAAGATGAAGAAGGTAGGGCCTGGGGAGTTCAGGCTGCTTATCCAAGGCAATAGCTGGCAAGTGACATAGCTAGCTAGATCGGAATCTAGGTGACTGACTTCAAATTCCACTGCGTTTAGGCAGAAAATCAGGTGACTCTGGGGAAGAAGCATTTACTCCCAGGCCTTTGTGTGGCTTGAGAGCGGAATGGCAGGAGGAGACTCACCTGTTCTTCTCAGAATGAGGCTGCTTGGTGTCAGAACCAGTGTGTGGGGAGGCATCCTGCTCACAGAGTCTCGCAGAGAAGTGGAAGAAGACCTCTTGTTCAGGGTTGGCACCAAAGATAAAACACAAGGACTGAAGAGAGAAGCCCCTGTGTCTTCTCTGCCTTGGAGGACTTTGCATCTTTAGAAACAATCCTAACTCTTGGGCCATGCTGGGGTGAAGCGCCCAGGGACAGAGGCAGAGCAGTACGTCACCTCCAGAGTACGGAGGGGTCTCAGTTTCATGTTCCCCTTGAGCTGCATTCTGAGTAGAAGTGAAGTACTCTTTGTGACTGTTTAATAGACAACATCAAAGGCAGAAAGAATCCCAAATTAGTAGATGACCCAAAATTCATGGCTAGTGGCGTTGGGGTGTAGCTGAATCCACACCCATCATACACACAAAATATTCCTCCATGCTAATCCGTCCCTCCAACCCAGCCCAGCAAAACTGCCTGTGGGCTGGGGCCCAGCTAAGCTATCAAGGGGAGGGAGTCACCGAAAATACAGACGGACAGTTCATTGGCTCACTCATTCATTCATTAGACTTTTTTTGAGCACCAACCAGGCACCGTGCTAGGTATGGGAAATTCAAACTTAAAAGAAAAAGTCCTTGCCATCTATTCATTTTGAGTCTGATAGAGAAAACGTGGAAACATGGGCTTACAGTATAGCACAGTGTGGGGAGGCCTATGGACTGGTGTGCCAGGAGCAATGGAATAGAATTGCACCCATTTGGGACATCATGGAAGGCCTCCCAGACGAAGTGACTCTGCACTGGCTAAGTTGGAGCTAGCTAGGGAAAAAGGAGGACTGATGGGGGAGGGTTTTTCACGTCAGGGGAGAGGCTCAGGCAAAGACTCAGAGACAAGAAGGCACGCGGGACATCTGGGGGAACCGTGGGACTGTTTGACTCAGCTGGGGAGTTGGATAGGTGTTAGTCAAGAGCAGAGAGAAATGTGCCCCTGGATGCCATTTAAGAGTTTGAATTTGACCTTGACTTTGTAGGACGATAGGCAGAGGAACGCCATTATTGAGTTGTGTGCTGTAAAGTTGCGTGTGGAGAGTATAAGACATTCAACAGTCCCTATGGCCAATTCGAACCATCCATGAGCTCAGCTGTGCTTAAGACAAGCAAATGCAATGGACCAATGCTTGAATGGGAGGCTGCTGACAGACTTGGCATAGCAGGGGACCTGGACCCACCTCTGCCAGGCTCTGCAAGTGCAGCACAGTGTCTGCAGCAGGCTGAGCCCAGCCAGGCCCTGATTCAATGTCTTTGCTTTGGTTCCTTTTCCTCTAGTTTCAGGAGCTGCAGCTGGCAGCTGGCCGGCATGGGGATGACCTGAAACACACCAAAAATGAGATCTCAGAGCTGACCCGTCTCATCCAGAGGTTGCGCTCGGAGATTGAGAGTGTGAAGAAGCAGGTGAAGGGGGCTGGAGCGTTCCTTACTCACTCCTGAGAGGGATAAACTCCTTAGTACCCCTGCCCCCTCCTTCTCCTGAGCCTCCATCTCAGAACCCCGTTCCTCACACAGAGGCCCTGTTCTCATCTCCCACCCTTAGCTCCCATCTGAAGTTTGGAACAATTGCAGATTCTTTTCATAAAGCTGTGAGGCCCGGTGTAACAAGACCCGCGGTCCCAGGTTGACGGGATTCCACCTGGATGTGGCTGGGTCTCTGCTCTAGGACATGGGGCAGGACAGAGGAGGGCTCAACCACTGTGAGCATGGGAGAGGGGAGGTGAGGCCCAGGGAGGAACTCAGGGGGAAATGCTACCTCCTGACCCCAGGGTGCCAACCTGGAGACGGCCATCGCCGACGCCGAGCAGCGGGGGGACTGCGCCCTCAAAGATGCCAGGGCCAAGCTGGATGAGCTGGAGGGCGCCCTGCAGCAGGCCAAGGAGGAGCTGGCACGGTTGCTGCGTGAGTACCAGGAGCTTTTGAGCGTGAAGCTGGCCCTGGACATCGAGATCGCCACCTACCGCAAACTGCTGGAGGGCGAGGAGTGCAGGTGACTGGGACCCAGGGACTGGAAGAAAGTTTGCAAGTCTCCAACTCAGAGTTTCCCAGAGTGTGTTTGGATGGCGCAGGGCTGGAGATGTGTTTAATTCACCCACAAACAATTTCAGACAGTATCCAGCCAGATAATGTGACAGCAGTTTCCTTTACAGTTCTTTTTTGACTCTGGAGAAAGCCTTAGCTGGGTGCTGTTGTGTCTTTAGACACTTGCAAATCTCCCCTATTGATAAAAAGACAGTCGATTCCAGGTGCAGAATCTCTGGGAAGATAATAGGAATATCTAGCCCCAAAGTTTTAAATTGTTTTATTTTCATTATATTTATTTTCTGCTACTTTTTTTTCTTATTTGGTTAGGTAATAATATCGGTTTTCTATTTACCCTGGTGATATAAATCTTCTTTTTAAAAGAAATGTGCTTTTGTCATAAAAGGCAGAGTCAATTAAAAATACTGAATATCTAACAGTGCAAGTCAAACGTGGTCCTAGCAACAGTTGGAAGGGTGGCAAGCAAAGCTCGCACATGTGAAAAACCCCGTTTTCACCTACCACCATTTTATAACTGAGACCTGGAGAGAAGTCACTGGTCCCAGAATCACACAGTTAGTTCATTAGTAGCAACTCCTGATCCTGATCTTTCCACACATAAGTTTATTCAGGCAGCTGCTTCGCAGAAGTAAAGAAATGGCTTCAAGAGAAACCCAGCAGGAGGGACCCTGGGGATGGTTATGTTGCTGGGGGTTCCAAAGTTGCGGGTTCCACATGTCTGCAGTGGGAAGAGTAGATTAAAGAGGGAGAGGGAGGGTTTAGAGACACTCAGGGGCAGCCAGTGCCAACTGGCCAGGGCAGGGTGTATGGAGGCTGAGCCAGTCTGGTTGGGGAACCCCGACCTGTGTTGAGACAGTAAGAGTCACTATGGGAGTGCACGTGATTCAGACTCTCCTGTGCTTTTCTCTCTTGCAGGATGTCTGGAGAATACACCAACTCCGTGAGCATTTGTGAGTATTTCATGACACTGAGGGAATACCATGACCTTGGGTTCTTATGAGCAACTCACGGGAAGAAGTTTGTTTAGTCCATCAACAAACATAAAGTGGGTGGGTGTGTGCCACCCGGTCCCCTGGGGAACAGCCTGGCTCTGCCTGTTGTCGACTTTGTCACGTACTCACCTTGCTGAGACCTGTGGCCTCCCCATTCAGAGCTGCTGCTTTCAGGTGGAGTCAGCGCCCAGCACATTCTGACATTGCACACTGGCCTCTTCTGCAGCAACCTCCCCTGTGCTGTGGTGAAACTCTCAGCCCCTCCCCTCTTCTTTCACCCCCACTCCAGCTTTCCTGTATCAAGGACGCAGCACAGAGTTGTGCCTCCTCACTGGGAATGGAGATCAGTGTGCAGACCACTGCGCAAGTCAGTTGAATTCTGGCCTCACAGGGCGTGGCAGTCTCCTTCTTAGAGTGGGGCCAGCAAAAACTCCCCTAATTTTAACAATCAGGAAGTTCTTTTGACAAATACTCAGAAGGTACTGTAAAGCTAAATGCAAGAACCTGCTGACTTATCTGATATTTGAGCATCATCTGTCCCTTGGGGGAAGCCCTTGCTATTCCTGTTTATTCATAGAATGACAAGGCACCTGACTTGGGAGTCTTTTGGGATTGGGGCTGTTCTTCCCGTGAGTTGCTCATAAGAACCCAAGTTCATGGTTGATGCAAAGTGTTTGCTTAAGAAGGAGGCATTTAAGCCAGTGGGGCCTGGGAAGTCGGAGGGGCCTTGGGGTCACCTCTGTCTTAGGATATACACTAATCACTCCTCCCTCCCTCCTCCACAGCGGTCTTCAACAGCTCCATGGCTGGGGCGGCAGGCACAGGGGCTGGCTTTGGATTCAGCAATGCTGGCACCTACGGCTACTGGCCCAGCTCTGTCAGCGGAGGCTCCAGCATGCTGCCTGGGGGCTGTGTCACTGGCAGTGGGAACTGCAGCCCCCGTGGGGAAGCCAGGACCAGGCTGGGGAGTGCAAATGAATTCAAGGACTCCCAGGGAAAGACCTTAGCTCTCAGCTCACCCACCAAGAAAGCCATGAGATAAAAGTGAAAGCCCATTTCCCAGTAGTCTGCCTTACTCCGGCAGGCTACTCCAGACTCCTTCTCTAGGAAAGTCCTCTGTCTCATTTGTCCTCATCTCCTTCTTGCTTGGCTTCGCCATGGACCTCTCTCGCTTCTCCTTGACCTCTCTGCCTCCGTCTTTGTTAATGCTGAATCAGGATTCGAGACCTGGAGCTTTCTGCTATCTTTCTGCCTCCATCCAAAGAGACCTCTTCACTCAGCCTCCCCTTCTGGATGAAGACTTGGCCCTTTCTCTGCCTGCATGTCCCCGTGCAGAGGAAGGCTGTCTCTCAAGGATAAAACCCCAGTCTTCCTGTGCTGCTCTTTCATACCCTGTCTCAGTAACTATTTGGCCATTTGCTCCCTGAGTACACAAAGTTTCAGATCTACTGAGAGACTTGCAAGAACTGTCTTGTGTTAGAGCAGCACCAGCTCAGGCAAAACGCCTGGTGGGAGGTTGTATCTTGCATAGCCACTGCATATTACACAGCTGGGAGTACCCCTTGAGGCCAATCCTATCAATCAAGGGGTCTGTGCTCTTCATCTGTGAGTACTTGTCCTTGTTTAGGCCTCACCTCCCTGCTCCTGTGTCTTACCAATAAACTTATAAAACCCACGTGGGGTCAGGCTGCTTCTCCCTCCTAAGGGAGTCCTCATCTCAGTCCATGTCTCTTCTGCATATGGAGTGGTCAATGAATGGGAGCCTCAGGCATCTAAAGTCTGGATGTATATTTTGATCTGAGTGATAGAGGCCCTACCCAGCCTGGGGGAATCTCACTAGCACCTTCTAAGTCATGGTTTTCTCGGGCCAATGCTCCAGTGAATGGGGGATCTCTGCAGGTTATTAACAGGGAGAAGCAGCCCACACTTGCCTGGTGTCAAGACTTAAAACTGGTCAAGAGGCAGCAGAAGGTCAGTTCTAGATAGCCTGGGGCCGAGTTAGGATGGCTCCATCTCCCCTAAGAAAAGGCCCAGAGGAAGATCCTCTTTGAAGTAACATGTTCTCTTGGTCCTTGCTAAAGTTCCCACGGAGTTGAGCATGGGTGTTTATATATAGGTGTATATGTATGAGTTTATTTACATATGTATGAATATGTGTGTGCGTATGTGTATGTGTTTAAGAATGGGGCCGTCTCTGTTACACACACAATTGCAGATTCTTTTCATAAAGCTGTGGGGCCCAGTGCAACAAGCCTCTCAGTCACAGGTTGACAGGACTCCACCTGGTTGTGGCGGGGTCTCTGCTGTAGGAGGACATGGAGCAGGACAGAGGAGGGTTCAACCACTGTGAGCGTGGGAGAGGTGAGGTGAGGCCCAGGGAGGAATTCAGGGGGAAATGTTTGTTTTGAAAATGCTCAGAGATTTCTCATAGATCCCCAGGCCATGATGATGCCATCAGGATGCAACAGGATGTAAACGCGAGCGAGAAGCTGGCACACATGCAGTTTGGGGCTCCCGTGTTGCATCTGAACAGGTCTCTGTGGGTCCTGGGAGAGTCCTAGACTTCAAGTCAATAGCTGTGAATTCAGATTTAGACTTTGCAACTAAGTGGCAATAATGAACGAAGATCTCCATCTTCTCGAACCTTATTTCATTAGCTATAAAAGAGGAAGAATAATGTCCCTGAATTGTTGTTAACACTAAAATGAGACAGCACGAGGGTATCTTGTGCAATTGCTGGCACAAAGTTGATGCTTAATAAATGTTATTGGAAACTTAAGTGTGTCCTCCATATTTTTGGTCTGACTTAATTAGCTCGCTGAAAGAGGTGTACAGCTGCAGATAAAGCAGTTCAAAAATCCAAACTTTAAGGAGACCATCTCATGAATTACAGCACAAGCTTAATTCCCAAAGGAGAACTGATTGGTGGAATAATTAGTCTCAGGACTATATTCTTAGGGCCAGTGAAGAAAGTCATTCGACAAATATTCATTAAGCATATGTCATGTCTGGCATATGCTAGTGCTAGGGATACAGTGATGAAGAAATCTTGTCCATGCACCTAATGGAGGCATAACCATAAAACACATAACTGTAGCATGGTGAGTTGTCAGCAACAAAAGAAGACACAGAGGCAGCCTAGAGGAGAGAGAGGAACTTCAGGGAGGTCAGGGAAAGCTCACAGAGGAGGCGATATGTGTAGAGGTTTTAGAGGATGGATAGGAATTTACTAGGTGGACAAGGGGAGGAAGTAGGCTTTGTAGCCAGAGGCACCAGCATGGTACAAATAGGTGATTGTTGCTGGGGTGTGAAGTGTGAGGACGGAGGAGGCTCAGTAGGAGGAGAGGGAGGGTGCAGTGGCATCCAGAGTTGGGGAGGCAGGCAGCAGGTGCGTAAGAGAGGCCTTTCATGCATGCTAAGAGCTGGGATTTTATCCTGTAGAGCCTGAGGGAGAAGTTAAACTTGGGTGTCAGATGGAACCTAAGTCAGAAGGACTTTGCAACTTACTAGTTGTGTAACTTAGGCAAGATACTTCTGCTCCATAAGCCTCAGTTTTCTCATCCCTAAAAAGGGGTTAATAATTAGTTACCTCATAGAGTTGTTATGATAATTTAATGAAATTATGAGAATTATTTAGTTCATGTCTAGCACATAGTAAGTGCTCCATAAATGGGGCCCCTATTATTTTTAGGTATAGACTATTCTTTCAGGAAACTTCATTTCTGATTCTAGAATCAGCTTCCCTCCCCTTTCATCTCTAGTTGTTTTTTGAAAAACTAAAAGCATTATATGCTCATATTAGAAAATTCAGACATATCAAAAAGTGGAAAAAAAACCCCACTGACACTGCCCCATTCACAAGCCCACCTCTCAACCACCATGTGTAAAAAACATTAAGTTTTGTATTACCCTTTGGTACTGCAGAAAGTATCATGTTTTTCTGTTATTATGGTTTAATATCATCCATCTGTCCGTTTATCCATCTACCATCCATCCATCCATCCATCCATTTATTTGTTTAATAGACTATTTATTAGGACAGTTTCAGGTTTATAGCAAAATAGAGTGGAAGGTACTTGGGTTTCCCACGTACCTCTGACCCTACACATGCATAGCCTCCTCCCTTATCAACATCTCCCACCCGAGCGGTACATTTGTTACAAGTAATGAACTTACACTGATGCAGCATTATCACCCCAAGTCCATGGTTTACACTGGGGTTCACTGGAAAGTCAGTGGGCTTGGACAAATGTATAATGACATGTAGCCATCATTATGGTACTATACAGAATAGTTTACTGCCCTAAAATTGCTCTAGCACTAAGCATGTTAATGGGCCTAGAAAGTCCTGAAATATGATGCCTGCTTAATATTTTTTTAAACCCAGCACAGACTCCATTCCCATATTTTTCCCCATGATACCTACTAACTTCCCAAGAACTAGTGTTGCAGGCCAAAGGAGATCCAGTTTAACCAGCAATGCATTTGCAATTCTTGGCCTAGAGTGGTTTCATCCATCTTTTGTAGTAGACTTCTGGTTTCAAAGGTCAAGGCTCCTGGTCTAGTTTACTAATCCAGGGGTTGCTTTAACCCAAGAACTAATGACAGAGGACCAGGGCCTGAGGTGACACTGTAAGCTGCTATCAGAGGCAGAGGCAACTCCTTCTCCCAGGCCTCAACCCACTTTGACCTGCTGACATCCCCACACATCTGAGGCCTTTGAAATCTGCATGTGTCACTTCTGTCTCTTCATGATCTATAATAAAGGTGATTCAGGGGTTGAAGAATCCCTTATTCATCCAGCTAGTCAACCCCTCTTGGGAAGATAAGAAAAGATCATCTTACCTGTTCCTTAACCCTGGGCAGAAGAGCCCGGGTCCCAGGATATCTCAACTCCTTAGAAAATTTCTAAGAAAAAAAAAATGATTTCAAAGACATCTTTTCTAAGCCAATCCTATGTAAAAATTATTCTCTTTCAATGTAATCCATTTATTACTTTTCTATTCTCAATGGCCGGAATAAATAAATTCATTTTAGTGCTTGTGGGAAAAAACTGGCTAAATTTATGGGGCAGAGGAAAAATCTCATGTAATAATGAAAAGGATAACTTTGATCTTCTTGAAGGGTCTGCTGGTCACCTAGCCACAATGATACTGCCCCTTTTCTCTCCAGAGGGAATGGACTACAGCCCCTCCTCTGAGGCAGCACTGAGAGCCCCCCGTCTCTCCCACCTAGGACACCCAGACGCCGCTATCTGTTCATCTGTGATCGGCGCCATCTCCACCGCTTAACAATGCCCCCACAACTTTGTTCCCTGTGGGGTAAACGCTGTGGCTGTTATTATGTCCTGTCCTTGGCCCAGTGGAGGCTGTGTCAGCCAATCACCCCCAGGTACCATTTAGCCATCCCACGAGATCCTCAAGGGGAGCCCAGCCTTCAGGATATCACTGAGGGCACAGTTAAGAGCCTTTCCCTAAGCCCTCTGCTGTTTCACAATCATCCTGAATGTCCCTGGAGCCAAGACCTGGGCTGAGCACTGGGGGAGCAGGGGAGAAAAGGGTGAGTCCATCCTGTCAATCCGATACAGGAAATGGAACACACACTCAGGACTCCGACAGCTTGAGAAATAAGAGCAATGAAACAATTCCACCCGCATGTCAGAGGAATAGGAGGGCTTCTGCTAAGAGAGGAGGAGACTTGAAGGCAACTTAAGTTTGAGAAAGTGGAATCGGGTTAGATGGAAGAAGGATCCTCTGTAGCTTCAAGGGAATGAAGTAGCTTCAAGGGAATCAAGCTCTAGAATCTAGTTCTTGGTTTTAGATCTGAAGAGTCTTGACCTGTTCCTAATAACTGGTCACATTTTGACGCTGAATTAGAAACCACAGGGTTGCAAGTGATCTGAGCAGAGGTTTCCTGGATTTGGATGAATGAGCCTCTTCTGCTAGTAAAAGAAAACAAAAATGAAAATAACCCAAAACCTTAGGACATATCATCTGCTAAACCATGCCTAAGCCTTCCTGTGCCACCTCCCCAGGCCTTCTTCCCTCCATCCCATTCTTAATCCAGAAATGCTTTCATGGAGAAACCTTTTCACTCTGGTCCAGAGTCACCCCCAACACTTGTACCCAGAGTGCTCTGTGTCCTGCCTCCCCCAGTAGACTGAGAGGTCTCTGTAGATGGGGCCAAAATCTCCTCCTCAGCTTCCTTCCTGCACACAGGACAGAACTAGTCCTCACGCAGAAGCCTGGGAGGCAGGAGGAGGACAGGCTAAGGATGATTTTCCGGAATATTCTTGACCCTATTCATGGCCTTCTGAAGAGAACCAGCCTGGACATCTGCTTCACACACCTCCGTCTCCCCAGACACACACCCAGAGGGGCCAGACCCATTGGAAGCTTCCAGGGGCGATCTTGGGGGTGATAACCCCAGTAATTGGAGGGCAGCAGGTGGAGATAAGGGATAATGCAGGAGGTGAGCCAAGTAAATGCTGGGTTCTGGGTCACTTTATAGGGATTCATGGGGAGTTCACGGTGGACAAAAATCTCGGTGAGTGGATGGTAATTTCCTACATGAAGAACCCAAGAGGCCTCGAGGGATCTAAAAGGTGTTTTCGACGTACAAATTAGGCAGACTGCAGCCAGCCAGGCTATTTAAGGGGAGAGCCTGGCCGAGAGC